CACCCCCCCTGACCTGCAGCAAGGACAGGGCCACCAGCTGTGGTCATTCTGTGCAGTGGCACAGAGGGTCCTGCAGCTGGGGCAGGTGGGGTGGTCATCTCTCCCTTCTAAGGTAAGAGTGGGCCGCAGTCTAGGTTTTCACCAAACTCATTAGTGTTCAACAGAGCCTCCCAGGCACAGGGGGCTACTCTGGAGCCCTGACTTTGACTGAGAGCACTCCTGCCCAGAGCCAGGGCCTGCAGGGGCAGCCTCAGCTCAGCCCCACATAGCCACATCTTCCCTGAGGCCCAAGAGCTGCAGCTGGGCCCACACATATGCAGTGTGAAGGGCAAGGGGCCGAGGCGGCTGCAGCTGGCACTGCCAGGGGAAGTGGCTGGTCTGCTGGGTGTGCACCTGTGGTGGCCCTGGGGGGTGGCAGCATTTCGAGAGGCTTCTCTGCCCACAGATTCACCAGCCAGCCAGCTTCCCAGAAAACCCTGCGCCCACTGCCTTAGTCTCTGAGCCTCCTGCTGCCACCTGTCCAGCACACCACCCTGTGAGCCTCTGCTGGCCCATGTAGGAAAGGGACAGAGTGCCCAGGGGTTCAGGACCTTCTCCACGAGGCAGACCAGAGGACTGTGGGGCCGCCTGTCTGTGCACCTCAGGCTTGCAAGAGGATCTGAGAAGCCAAGGTGTTGTCCCATGCCTGAACCCTGGCCTGCAGGGGGCAGGAACGCAGCGGGATGCCTGCACGGCCAGGGCTCGGGTCACCCAGGACCCACTCCAGCTGAGCTCCGTTCCAGAGCGGGCCTGGAGCTCCCTTGGGGACTCTCCCACAAGGACTGGCAGAGCTGGGATGCCATGGGCAGGGGAGGCCAGGCCCAGGCCACACATGGGACACGCTGGGCGCCTCTTTCCCTTGGAGGTTGGACACTAGCACCTTCATCCTGGAGCTCCAGGGAACTGCCACTTGTCACCCAGTGACGAAGGGGGGCAATGCCCCTCCTCTGCACAGGGAGAGGCGCTTGCTGCTGTGGGGCTCCCCTGGGAGTCTTTTCCCTCAGCCCAAGCAGCAGGACTCCGGGGTCAGTGCCTCCTCACCTCTGCCACAGAGCTCCCCCGGAAAGGGTGGCTCTCCTCTCCCAGAGCACAGCAGGGCTCAGGATGGAGGGGGCGAGTCAGCTGCTCTGTGGAGCACTGGCGGTGACTGGGCTGCCCTGCCCTAGTCTCTCCTCTGTGTGGTGGACAGCAGGAACGCCCACCCACCCCGGTGAGGGACCAGCACGTGGGGCTGTGGTCAGCCCAACTGCAGAGTTGTCTGCACAGCTGTCTCTCTCTCTCTCTGGAAATCAGCCTTGGGAAATGGGCGCTTCTTCCTGAACACAGATTGGCTCAGCCCCAGCCCCAGGGGACCCCATGGTGGAATCCTGTCCCTCAAGGGCGCCGGCTCACGGCCCCTCCAGGAGCCGCAGGGTTGTGCAGTGCGGCTGCTCCGGGACTCGGGGCCTCCAGGCCCAGCGCTGTGACCCCACCTCAGGCCACCAGGCCTCACCGACCAAGCCTAAGCATCCTGCTCTGTCGCCCTCTGGAGCTGTCACAATGCGAGAGATTGAGGCAATTTCTCTCTAAGTGCTCTTGTTTCCCCTAATAATCCACGTTTCATCTCCACAATAAACATTGTTAGAACTCTTCCCTCGGCTTTAAATACACATAATTGCTCCTGGTGCCAGTAAAAGGTATTAATTCCACTTATGCATTCCATAAACTTTTAGGATAACGCAACTGATACCACAGTCATGTTGGGACACCTCCGCTATTCTCTGCCTGCAAACCTCCGAGGGGCTGGAAAGTTTTCTGCGAATCCATTAGTGTTGACTCAGACTCGCCCTCCCCAGGAGTCCCATGTCGGGCCTTCGTCCTGCCTGCCTGCCTTGCCCAGAGGGGGCTCTCATGTCCCAAGGGGCTGCCCCCACCGCACATGCCAGAGCCCAGGACACCGGGGCCCCCCGAGCCCCTCGGCTGCCTTGCAGGCTGCTGGCTGTGCCCCGGAGCCTGCCTCCAACAAGCCCACTGATGCCGTGCTGAGCGTGCTTCCGATTACGTGGGCTTCCTGCCCGGCCTCACAGCCTGCTCTGAATGTCTTGCAGAGCTGGGCAGGAAGGGGCTGGGCAGGGCTGGCAGACTCCAGATGCCCAGGGCATAGGGCTGTTCTGACTGGGAGAACAAACTACCCTGCGTGTCCCTGCTTTAGAGGGACCAGCTACCACAACACTGCCAGCTACGAAATGGCCCTGAGATGGGGTGGACATCAGGGCCCAGAAGCCAGGCGAGAGCAGTGCCCATGTCCTGACTCCCCAGAACCCCACAGAGGCCACAGAACTGACCACGGACGCCCATGATGTTCTCCTCTGTGGTCCAGCCCCAGTGGCCCTGTCCACCCCACGGAGGTACCCATGAGGCACCAGGCCCCTGCTTAGACAGTGACCTTCCCCCCCCAGGTCCCAAGTGGGTGAGGGACACAGTGAGCCTGTGTGTGCTGCTCCCCAGACTCTGGGCACTGTGCCACACGGTCCCCTTCCCAGCTGGGTACCCACAGGAGCAGAAGCAAAGCAGCAGCACCACGTGGCTCCCTGCTACCCTGCTCACAGGCCCTTTCCTGGCACTGAATGCCTGTGGGCTTCCTGTGGGGTGAGGGTGGTGGGACCCTGGACAGCCACCAGGGAGACCGCACTGGCACCGTGTCCACGGGTGCCCATGTCTGAGTGTGTACAGTGCATGTGTGTGGGTGCAAGCACATGCCCATGTCCACGTGCACATGAGCTTGTGAGCTGAGGACTGGCACCTGCACAGCGGTCTTGCCATCCAGGAAGGCCAGCCCACACAGACAAACATCCGTGGCTGCGGGCCCATGGTGGGCGCAGAGCAGCAGAAGCCAGAGACCCCCTTCACACCGCGGTCACTGAGGGCTGTGAGGTGTTTGTGCAGCTCTGGGAGGGGAAAGGAGGCAGCAGGTGACGCGGAAGTGCACTTGAGAGAAACAGGACTTATCCATCAGTTACCAGCCGGTGCGGGCAGGGGCCAGGCATGGTGTAAGTGGCTCTGGGCCCGGGCAGCGAGTCTGGGCAGCGGCCACACAGTGAGACCCCAGAGCTGAGCGCAGGCGCTGCCTGCCTGCATCCCAGGAAGGGAGGGAGCCCCCCGTGGGGGCCTGCTCTCTAGCGCCAAGGCGCCAAAACTCTCATTATCAATGTCAGTCCCACCTCCGCCCCTGTGTAGATGGGCTGGGAGGGGACCACAGCAGGCACCAGCGTCCTCTGGCCCAGCCCTCCCCTGCTGCATGTGAACACTGTGTGGCCCCCAGCAGGGCTGCTTCAGCACCAAGCAGATCACCATGGGCCCCGGAAGCCAAGCAGCAGAGCAAAGCACACATCCCCATGTCACCCACAGGGGCGGGAGGATGGAGTCCCGGTGGGGAGGCAGCCCCCCAGCACCGCCCCCGCAGCGGCCCACAGGAGTCCAGGGCATCCCCACGGCAGAATGTCCAGCAGGAGGGAGCAAGGCCTGAGTTCTCCCTCCACCGTTGAGGAGGAAAGATTTAGGAACATGAAAGGGGTGGTGGTGAACCTCCTGTCACCAGAGGTAGTGAGCCTCTGACTGCCTCTAGCCCTTCCCGACCCAGCCCCCCAAGCTGGGCCGGGGACAGTCCTGCTTGTTCCCTTTGACTAGGCTTGATGTGACCCCCCCCCCACGCAAATGTGTGCCCCTGCACAGGCCGGGACACACACACACACACACACACACACACACACACACACACTACAGGTCATCCCAGCGGTGAAGGTAGTACACCCAGCTCTGCTGCGGCACACAGACAAGATGTCACTCAGTGCTGTGACTGCCAACCTGACTGCAGACCCAGGGCTGCCTTAGGCTCCGCCCTGCCCCACCCCCACCAAGGCATGGGAAAACCTCAGCTACCACCAAGATCACATAGAATCTGCCCAGGGCTCACTTTGTATATTGGAAGAACCAGAGTCGGGGACCCTGCTGTGCTCCCCAAGGTGTGGGAACAGATGCTCTGACAGACTTTTCCACTCCAGGGTCCAACTTCCAGGTGGGCCAAGGCTGCCAGAGCTTTCCTTGGAGGATGGAGCCCACAAGTCAGCACCAAGGGCACCCCGTGCAGCCGGATGGACCAAGGAGGGAGTGGGGACTCGCTTCCCTTCCTGCCCAGTGCCACGTGACCTGCACTCCTGGTCAAAGTCCCCAAGCCTCAGTCTGCATCTCTAGGTGGTCCCTCCCAGCCCCTGCATGTGAGGCCACTGGGTTCCCTGGCCCCACACACCCACTTGCTACCCCCAAGACCTGGTAAGCTACTGCCGCTGCTTGTGCCCCAGCTTCCTGGACTGTGAAATGTGGGCACTAACAAATGCACCCCGTGGGTGTCTGGGTGGGTCCAGGGGTTTCCTAAACTCGGTGTGCTCAGCACAGTGCCGGCTCCTGGAGCTAGCATGTGGAATGCCACCAAAGCTGCAAAGTCCCACCCCCAGGCTGGGCTGTATCCAAAAGTGCATGGGGGGACTCAGGCCCTCAGCACTGTGGTGCCACCCTTGACGTCCCCAAGCCAGCTCAGAGATGACACCCCGAGACGGGGACGGCAAAGCTCAGATCCTTGCACGCACAGGGGCTGCTCAAGGAGGCCCCCAGGAGCCCGTGCTCAGAGCAGAGCAGGAGCAAACCAGGGCTCTTGCTGGGCACAGAGGGGCTGCCCACGCCACTCTGCAGGACATCCACCCCTTTGTGGGGCCCCTTGGCCCCGCTGGGACCCACAGGCTGCTGGTTGGTCCTCGCCAGTGTCCGGGGGTGGGCATGCCCAGACTGCCTGGCTGGAGCCGCCTCTGCCTCACGCCCCTCCTGGCCTGTCACCCACCGCGGTGCCTGGACGGATGCGGCTGCCCATCCCCAGCTGGAGCCCACCACCCGCCAGCCACATGCTGCTGCGGGGCGCAGGGGTCACTCACCGTCCAGGTGGCAGACTTGGCGGTGCTCGACTGCTGGAAGGTGACCTCGAAGTGGTGGGGGCCAGGGTAGTCGGTGTTGGAGGGGATGACGGGCGCGGGAGACATGGTGTCGAAGGTGGAGCTGGGCTGGGCGTAGGGTGAGTGGGTGGGCACGCTGGCGCCGTGCTCCGGGGTGTAGGGGCTGGCTGGGGCCGCGCGGCTGCTCATCTGGTCCATGGTGCTGCTGAGCAAATTGAACTGGGCCTGGAGGGGCGGGCGGGGAGGGGGACACGTCAGGCTGGGCTGGGGGATGCCCAGCCCCAACCTGCGCTCCCTGGCTTGCTCTGTCCCTGCCGTCGGAGGTGTCTGGTTACAGCAGCCTTAAAGGGCCAGCGCTCACAGCCATCCCAAATATTTCCTCCGGCCCCCACCCCACCCCAACAGGCCACTACTTGTGTTGGGATAAACTGACACACTCACCTCGCCCGCCCCTCTCCAGCCGCCTCCCCCGTGCCAGCGCCTCTGGGATCCACCCAGCCGCCAGGAGGAGGAAAGGGGCCCGAGCACCTGGGGGCACTGTCTGGGAGCCCCCAGCCCCAGGCCCTGGCTCAGCAGCCACCCTGAGGGCCCCAGTCCCTGAGTCACAGCTAAGCAGGGAGACGGTGCCCATGAGCCAGGCTGGGGCTGTGGGCCCTGGGGCCAGCTGTGGCCCCAGGTTCTGCTCCCTGGGACGGTGCTGGGGCAGAGACCCACTTGCCCGTCCTTAGAGGCCCAGGGTGGTTACCAAAGGGTCTCTAAGCTCCAGCTCCAGCTCCAGCCAGACAGCCTCCTTGCCTCAGGGCTGGGTGGTAGCCACACACCAAGGTCCTTGCGCCACTTCCTTCCATCAGGGGGACAGCCCAGCCCTACCATTACCATGCCCCCAAGGAGCCCCAGGCAGTGCAAGCCCTGAGTCTTTTTTGTGGGGTTCCAGGACTCCAGCAGGGGTCAGTCCTGCCTGGAGCCTAAGGGCACCAGGCCTGCCTTCTGTCCTATGCTCGTGCAGGGTAGCCCAGAAGGCCACCAGCTCTGCATCCCAACTTCCAGGGGGACGCAGGTCTGCGAGGACCACACCACACGGCCGAGTGGGCCAGATGGATCCCTACACACAGCCCCCACTCAGGCCCTCTCTTTGGAGCTGGGGACAGTCACAAACTCAGTCTGCCCACGGCTAAGGTGGGCATGGCCTTTGTTCCCACAGGAGAAAACAGAAGCAGGGAGCCAGCCGGAAGGTGACCTGCCTGGGCAATGTAGCGAGGAGCTGAGGCAGAGGCCAAGGTTGGGCTCTGTGGTGCACTGAGGACCAGCATCAGTGACACAGTGACGTGGGATCTCCACGGGGGTGGGGAGGGGCGCCACACCCCTCCTCGGAGAGTCCCAAGACATCACCAGCAAGGTCCTGCCCACCAGCCTGCCCTTTCCAGGCTAAAGGACAGAGCCATTCCTAGGTGCCACGGGTCCTCAGCGCCCTCCGTGCTGATGACAGCCATGCTCCCCACAGCCACCTCACATCCGGGCCACCCTGGCAGTGCAGCCCCTCCCTGCACCTTGGTCCTCTTCTATTGAGGCAGGCTGGGCTCAGAGAGCTGGGTCCCTGGGTCCTGGCCTGCACCGAGGGGCCGTATGTGTCCTCTGCTGAGTCAATGACAGGGCCCCTGCTGGCTCTGCACTGGCCCAGGGTCTGGGATGCATGGTCTGGCTGTGCCGACTCACACGTGCCACCCAGGACCCCCGGCAGGGCAGGGACGGGACAGACAGCAGGCAGCTGCTTCTCACAGACCGCTGTCCCTGCACCCTGATTTCCTGAGTAAGCCAGGCAGGGCTTTCCTGAGATGCTCAAGCCTGGGCCGGCCATCTGCCACCCACAGTAAATGTCCAGTCTCAGTGGGGCTGAGCCACAGGTCCAAACCACGCTCTCCTTGAGGACAGCCACACGTGACTCAGCATGTGGCCCTGACAAGCTGCCGTCAGATGGAATCATTGCGAGGCCTTGGGCCACGCCAAAGCCCAAGGACAGGGAACCTGCAGGGCCTGCCCCCTTGGGGCTCCCCCTTCCTGTGTGCAGGAACCCAGTGTTCACCCTTGTTGCAGAGTCACCAGCCACAGGAAGAATAGAGCAGGACTCTCTGACAGGTCAGTGCCACAAGATGGGGACGAGGTGCTATGGGACAGCCAGGCTCCTCCAGCCACAGGACAGGCGGACTTGGGGGTGGAGACGAAGGCAGATGCCCAGTCTGGAAACGCCACTCAGACCCTTCCAGCCACTGAGCCCTGCACCGTGCATACTCAGGAGTGATCTACATGTGTGTGGACTGTGACACAATGGGTCAGGCCCTTGGGGAGGGACCTGATGCGCCCCTCTCCGGCTCCCAGGCTGTCTGAGAGGTCACAGCACAATAGCTGCCTCCTCAGGAAGATGGAAAACAATAAGGCTGCCCCTGGGAGAGCCACCCCCACCCCACAGCGCTGCCACTGGTCCCTGCAGGAAGGGATAGCCCCACTCTGCTGGGTGACACAAGGACACATGCAGTCCCAGAAACCTCCGCCCCATCCCTCCATCTGAGAGACTCGAGCGCTGGCTCTGGCCCCCACTGCACCTGTCTATCCTGAGGTCCACTAGAAGGACCTCACGCGGGAGACCCGAGGACTGCCAGTCCACAAGGCTGCAGCCATCTCTCCAACACCGAGGGCAGGGCGGGCAGTGCGCAGCGCGTCAGGGCTGCAGGGTGAGGGTCACACAGCACCCAACCTGGGATATGCAGATTAAATCCTGTCTGCCAGCTCCTTCCAGTTGTGGCAACCAGTCGACAGAGGCTGCACATGTGGCTCACGTTCTACAGTGGCCCTCTCAAGGGGGCCGGACCCGGGACTCTGGGGACACCAGAACCCACAAATGCAGGCTTCTGACAAACATGAAGGAAACACCCAGAACCTGCACACACACTCCAGTGTATCTGGGCCAGCGTGACTCGGAGAGCACCCAGGACAGCCAGACCGACGCAGCTGGTCCCTACCCTGACCAGGGGGGCAGAAGCAGAGTCCAGCGTGGACACAGGGGCCGTGCACATTTTGAGCTGCAGTGGGCAGAATCCCAGGATGCGGAGAGCACAGACAGAGCCAAACCTGTCCAGCGGCAGGCAGCACTCAGCTAGCGGGAGTGGAACCGGTGAACCGGCAGAACAAATGAACAGCAGACGAGTGAATGCTGGGCAGGTCTACAGGGGCGGTGGCTGCCCATGCGTGGGGCGGGCGGTGGGACAGCTGTCCCCAGTCGAGTCGCCCAGGACGCGCACAGGACAGGGGTCTGCTCTCCTGTTGGGATCCTGGGTCTGCTGGGGGCTGCAGGGCTCCCCCTCCCACTTTCGCCAGTGCCCCCATGCAAGGATGGCCTGGCCCAGAGATGGCAGTTCACCCGGGGACCCTCTATGCTACGCCCCAGCCACAGGGCACCCCAGCCAGCTCTAGGCCAGCGGGGCGGGAGCTCGGACCTCCCTGGTTCTGGAGAAGCCGGGTACAGACCACGACAAGGATGTTCATATTTTAACTTGTCCACATTCTTTGATGATCCAAAGCCAGTGCCAAGGAATGAGTCACTGTGCGGGGGAGGGGGGCACTGATAGGAGGGGGCGGCCTGCAGGAGGGCAGGGCGCGGGGCCCGCAGTGGGAGCCCTCAGGTGAGCACAGCCCCCACCAGCTCCAGCACCCCTGGCCCTCGGCTGCCTCACGCCCTCCACAGCAGCTCATGCCATTTCCTACCCCGCAGCCTCAGGAGACTGCTGTGCCAAGGGCACAGGCGGCCAGGGTAGCCCGCCACCCTCTGCATCCCACGGGCCCTCCCGCACCCTGCACTGCCTGCTCCCAGCCTCCCGTGGCTCCAGAGTGAGCGTGGCTTTCTTCACCATCTGCCTCCAGGCTGAGGGCTCCGTCCTGGGAAATCCCCCACATCCTCCTCCCTCGGTGGCCTCTCCCCAAGGCTGCTGCCTCCTCACTTCCTGTTCAGCTGCTGAAGCAGGACAGTCTCTAGGAATCCCCTCCCCAGCCCGAGTGAAAGCTGGGGTCCCCTAGAGCGGAGGCCCTAGAGGCTACAGCAAGACCCTCTCGGCAGTGGGGAGGAACCCCAGCGAGACCAGGACATTTTTTAGTTTGTTTGCTCTCCGTAAGAACTCTGACGCGGGCTCATTGGGGCATGCCCGGCCTGCGGCGGCCCACATGTGCCTACATGCAGGTGGGGCCTGGGCGCGACCCAGGGAGCCACACAGCCGCCCTCTGCACCCGGGCCATGCAGCCCCAGCTGCGGCCCGACACCCGGGGTGGAGGACACTGCAGCCCCCAGCCCCACGGGGTTCGCTCCATGACCCTGGGCCCACATGCAGGACACAGGGCAGCCACGAGTCAGAAATGTCCCTGGGACACAGGGGACACAGGGACATGGGGAGGCCCGGCGCCCCCACCCCCAAGTAGGTCTGATCTGCCGCTTTCTGCAAACCTCATCTCAGGGCTGCCTGCTCCCTAAAACTACAGAACACGAAGACTGCTCTCTTTCCTGTCCCCTGGGGTGGGCTTGGGACTCTGGGTGACAGCAGGTTGGTGGCCTAACCCCACAGAGGACAGCCAGGGAGCAGGGCCACACAGGATGGGTACAGTCCCAGCTCCTGGGCCCCTCCAGGGTCATCGAGGGTGCAGGTCCTCCTGCCCCTGGCCTGGCCCTCCTGGGGCCACGGAAGGAGCGTGGGCAGAACGCGGCAGAGCTGCAGCTCCCGTCCCCCGGGCTGGATACCTGGCTCAATCCCCTGGCACAGCCTGGAGGCCCTACTTGGGAAAGTGGCAGCCAGGGACTGTGGCCCCACAGGTAGGCAGCACAGGGCCTACTCTGCCACCCTCAGGGACAGGCATCTCTGCTGCCAGGTCCGGGGTGGACACTGTGACCCAGGCTGTGTCCTAGGGGAAGGAGAGGGGAGAAATAACAAGACATCCTAGGGGCCAGGAGCCTCAGCTTTCTCATCTGCAGAACGGGAAGGAACCCGCGCCTGCTGAGTGGGGCCAGTGAGGGATCAGGAGTCCCGAGTCCCCTGTGTCCATGGCTTCTCCCAGGATGAGCAGCCCCCAGGGCCAGGACGCCAGGTCCAGGGCGGCCTTCCAAATACAGCACCACAAGGCGCTGGCACAAAAGCCCAGTGGGGGGTAGAGGCTGGGTCCCAAAAGCAGTCACTACACACGGCCACAGG